CTACTGGAGACCACTCTCCCTGTACCACCGATTCTCCTAGATGGGCCCCCCATCCCTGGGCACTGGCGTCTGTTGTAATCTCCCTGACCACCGGGGAACTCCTTAACAGCCCCTGAGTCACATTGGCTGTCTTCCTCTACCACCACAGGGATCTCTTCACTCTTGAGGGAATATGCACCTGGGTATCCAATTACCACAGCTGTCGGTCCCAGACGCTCAGTATGAAAAGTTGAAGGGGACGAAGATGCAACATTGCCCACTGTACTGCCAAGATGGACAAAGTTAACAGTCCTAATACCGACATAGCCTGCCCCAATGCTACTTCGCGGCTTCCCAGTAACCGCCTGATCCCCCCCCAGTCTAATTTGATGAGCTTCTCCGGGGGTTAATAAGGTCTTCTGACAGGTGGAGTCCAGAATGTACCCTATATAGGTCATTCTTTGGGAAGGGACTAGGCAGGACTTATCCAAGTTCAGCAGCCATCTCAGACTCTGCAGATGTCTCCTCACCACTGCCACGTCCAATGCGAGCCGATCTGCCGAGCCCGCCAATAAAAGCAGGTCATCCAGATAGGCTACCACTGAAATTCTCCTCAGCCGAAGAGGAACCAATGCCTCGGATAGAACCTTGATAATGATTCTTGGTGAGGAGGAGAGTCCGAAAGGCAAGGCCGCGGGAACTGTAGGTGATATGTCCCTACTGTGCTCTGTACTGCCTACCTGAGGAATTTCTGAAATGCCTCCGCGATGGGCATGTGCAGATAGGTGTCCTTCAGGTCGATGGAGGCCAGGAAGGCCCCTGGTGGCAGGAGGGCTCTGACTGTGAAGATCAAGTCCATTCGGAAAATTTTGTATTGGATGGACTCGTTCAGGGGTTTCAGATTTAGGATTATTCTGTAGGCCCCTGATGGTTTCTGAACCACAAACACGTGGGAATAGAAACCCTCCCCTACTTCTGCCATGGGAAACTCTTACTACCACTTTCTGTGCTTCCAAATCCCGAAGCGAGGCTAGCAAGGCTGAGGCCCTCTGAGGACACCTGGGCAGGCTTGTTATTAATAACCTTTGTGGCGGTGGTCTTGAAAACTCCAGTCGGTATCCCCTTCTTATGATGTCCAATATAAAGGGGCTGGAGACCTCCGCTTCCCACCGTGGAAGGAAGGCCGCCAATCTTCCTCCGACCGGGGGAACCGAGTCACCGTGGTTTCTGGGGCTTGTCAGGAGGACAGAATATCGCACCTCCCTTGCCCCCCTCCCTCTTTGCCCCCATATCCTCCTCTGCCCTTCTGTCCTAGGGCTCTGTCTCTTTGGGGGACGAAATTTCCTACCCCCTAGATCCTGCATTTTTCGCTTCAGGGGAAAGGACTTTTTGCTGTCCGCTGTACGGTCCAACACCGTCTCTAATCCCGTCATAAACAGGAGATCTCCTGAAAAGGAGATGCCACATAACTTAACCTTAGACGTGACATCCCCCTGCCACGTCTTAAGCCACAAGGCCCTGCGGGCCGAGTTGGTCAGGGCCACCGACCTAGCTGCCAGCCTTACAGACTCTGCGGATGCGTCCACAATGTACCCCACCTCCTGCAACAATATTTCAAATGACGCAAGGATTTTATCTTTAGGGGAATCGGCCACTATATGTGCATGTAACTGCGTAAGCCAGTACTCCATGTTTCTGGCTACTACAGTAGTGGCCATGGCTGGCTTCAGATTAGATAGGGTCGAGTCCCATGACTTTTTAAGGAGGGATTCAGCTCTCCTATCCATCAGGTCTGGTAAAACACCCATGTCTTCAAAGGCCAGATCCATTTTCCTGGCAATCTGGGAAAAGGCCGCGTTCAACTTAGGATTTTTGTTCCATAAGGTTGACGGGTCATCACTGAACGGAAATCTACGCTTGAGTGACTTGGAGAAAAAGGGCTTCCTCTCAGGATCCTGCCATTCTTTCCTTATAGTGTCTACCAAAACCTCATGTACGGGGAATACTCTACGCTTCTGTTCCTCCATGCCCTGGTACATTTGATCGTGTAGAGATAGAGGCTTTACATCTTCCTTGATGTCCAGCGTATCATAAATTGCCCCTAACAAATCGTCCACTTCTTCCAGGGACAATTTGTACCTGGAGGGACCTCTGGGGTCTTCCGAGGGGCCCTCCCCTGCTGAGTACTCCTCGGACTGGGAATCCAGGGAAGGCTCACCTTCCCCTGTCTCCTGGAGTTCCCTACCCAGGTTAGTTGAAGGAGCTACCTGTTGGGGGGGCAGGGCGTCGCCTGAGGCATGGCTAAACTCTCCATCAGGTTTTTGAAGGAGTCAAAAGGTGTTGGCCAATTCCCCCTGAGCTGGACCCTCTTCCCTCAGTAATCTCTCAATACAGGGCCCACATAGAACCTTCTTCTATGACTCCTTGAGGGCTGCTCTGCAAGACGGGCATTTCCGCCTAGGTTCCTGGTGTTTAAGTTTTTCCCGGGCCTTACCCTGAAAAGACAAGAGGGAGAGAGCCAGAAAACCTATTACCCCCCCCCCCCCCCCTCCCAGCTACCTTCCCCCCCTTCCATTCCCTGGCACGGATTAAGGGCCTGACCCTCATAAGACCGACCCCCCCCCCCCCCCCTAGTCCCTCTGACCACAAGAGGGCCGGAGAATACCCCTGGAGCTTGGAGCCCACAGGACTCCAGAGTCACCTTACCTGGGTCTGGCTGGTGCAGGCCTCGCCTGGTCCCGGAGCTTCTGTGTCGGACATCCGACAGGAGCGTAGTCGCCAATCTCCCACGGTGTGCCTGTCCTTACAGGCTCTGGTCCACGTTGCACCGCCATTGCCTCCGACCCCGGTGTATAGGGCCGCGGCCGGAAGAGGCCCCGCTCCCTCCGCCGGAAATGACGTCTCCCATCATCCGGCCCGGTGTGCTCCTAAGCCAGCATGCATGGGAGGGGCGGGACTCCTCCCCGATCTTCTCCTGATCCCACCGAGGCCGCCCCGGCACCTGCAACTCTCTGGAGGGGGCCGGGGCGGCCGGCAGGTCAGTGTCACTCCCTGTCACCCAGGGCTCACTGCTCTGCCACCGCAGCTTTAGTCGGGAGGATCGCAGCCGGATCTCCGGCCTTCACTCCCTGCTACTCCCCCATTTCTGGATGTCAGGCTCTGCCGTCCCCTGACAGCACCTGAGAGGCTTGCTTGAGATGTCTCCCCACCGGAGGAAACACCAAAACAGAGGTCGGAGGGGAGTGATAGTGCTTTTTGTTTAGGGTGGAGGGGTTTCCTCAGGTGGGGAGGAGCTGAGGTCTCTCAAGGTGCTGTCCTAAAAGATGAAGGGGGAAAACATGGAGGAATAGGTTTTCGTTTAGCCCCCCAGGATGAATGAAAATAATGTGTGTGTACCCAGATTTACTTTTACTACAGGCAACAGTCTTCTGTCAGCTTTAAATGTCCACTGATGAGGCTTGCAGTTCTGTTCTACACTCTGTGATTGGAGGAGGTGTGGATGAACGTAACCATTTCCACTCCTCCTATCACAGAACACCTTGCATCCATTGTAAAGAATGCAAGGCTTTTTAAAGTACGTAGGGGGTGCCAAATGAGCAACCCCAGTGATCAGTGTACAGCAGCCAGAACTATATACACAGAAAGAACCACACCAAATTATGTGCAGACATAAGTATTATAAACAGCATCTGTTATAAGCAATTAGGGGTGGCATGTTACACCACTCCCAACATACCATAACCCCTTTATTGCATGAATGACACGTGTACCACAAATGCAGGAAACCTCCCACCGGAGAAATGAAAAAAAAATACACTGCTCAAAAAAATTAAAGGAACACTTTGAAAAAAACACATCAGATCCCAAAGGGCAAAAATATCATGCTGGATCTCTATACGGATATGGACTGGGTAATGTGTTAGGAACATAAGGATGCTCCATTGTTTGATGGAAATGAAAATCATCAACCTACAAGAGACTGAATTCAAAGACATCCCGAAATTCAAAGTGAAAAAATTATGCAGCAGACTAGTCCATTTTATTAAAATTTCATTGCAGAAACTCAAAATTGTACTCAGTAGTTTGCATGGCCCCCACATGCTTGTATGCATGGCTGACAATGTCAGGGCATGCTCCTAATGAGACGACAGATGGTGTCCTGGGGAATTTTCTTCCAGATCTGGACAAGGGCATAACTGAGCTCCTGGACAGTCTGAGGTGCAACCTGGTGACGTCAGATGGACCGAAACATAATATCCCAGAGGTGATCGATTAGATTTAGGTCAAGTGAGCATGGGGGCCATTCAATGATTCATCCTCCAGGAACTAATATATAATAAAGTGGACCTCCTGCGCTCAGAACCTAATATAAAAGGCTGCTAACACCTGCACCTTGTTACCTAAAAGTGAAAGAAACAAAAAATTCAAAAAATAGGTGTAGCGCTCTCTAACCAGTGACTGAAATCCCCAATAGGGAATAATGATATGGCTAATAGTGAAAAAAAACAACCAACTTTAAGTGTTCCAGTACTGGATAAATTAACACAAGTGAATAAGCTCAATACAAAGTATTGATATATAGTGAGAAAACACACATGTAATCCCAACACTGGGGGATAAATCCTGCAAAAAAAAAAAAAAGTGACAAAAAAGTGCTCTGTGTCCAAACACTCACATCATATAATGAATATATAAACCCCTATAAAAATATGATTGATCCGGTAAAGAATCAGTAACAATATTGTGAATAGAAAACATAAATCTTCTGCAAAATATATAAACGCAAATCCAATCTGACAATACGTGACACCAGTGTCCACAAAAATATGTAAAAACATGCAGGTGATTCTTGTGCGTTGCAGCCTCTGTTGATTCCACACACAGCTAGATTGGTTCCTCACCGTGACCCAAAAGGGGCCCTACAAGCCTTTGGGATCACTCCTGGATCCTCCCACATCAACAGAAGTAACAGCATATGCCTTCCAGACCAAGATCAGCTCGATATTCCCCTTTAAATGGCTCTAATCAATATGACCAGCTCCCACAGGATCTTTATGGGAGAAAAGCTCTGAGTGCTTCTTCATGTAGTTAAACAACTCCCGGTCCTTCTTGGCATTCCTGTAGTTTTCATATTTGGTCAAGTGATACCCCAGGAAAATGCCAACAGTGGTAAAGAGTACCTGCCTGTGCACACCCGCTCGGAAGACCGGTAGCTGGTTGAAGGCGTTGTGTAGTATGGCGCTTGTGTATCCCAAAATGCCCTTGAAATCATCACCAGAGGCTGCAACAGAGACTCTGAATCACGCTTCTATGTCTGGCAATCCGATGGACGTGTTTGGGTTTGGTGGTTGCCAGGAGAACAGTACTTGCCTGACTGCATAGTGGCAAGTGTAAAGTTTGGTGGAGGGGGGATTATGGTGTGGAGTTGTTCTTCAGGGGTTGGGCTTGGCCCTTTAGTTCCAGTAAAGGGAACTCTCAAGGCGTCAGCATACCAAGACATTTTGGACAATTTCATGCTCCCAACATTGTGGGAACAGTTTGGGGATGGCCACTTCCTGTTCCAACATGGCTGCAAACTAGTGCACAAAGCAAGGTCCATAAAGACATGGATGAGCAAGGCCTTCTTGTCCAACACCAGTGCCTTACCTCACAAATGTGCTTCTGGAAGAATGGTAAAACATTCCCATAGACACACTCCTAAACCTTGTGGACAGCCTTCCCAGAAGAGCTGAAGCTGTTATAGCTGTAAAGGAGGGCCAACTCAATATTGAACCCATGGACTAAGACTGGGATGCCATTAAAAGTTTATGTATAAAGGCAGGCATCCCAATCACGTTTGTCAATATAGTATATATACACATACACACACTAAGCTGCAGTACACAACCTGTGAACGCGGCCTCAGGCACAAATGAAAGCTCAGCTGGTGGGTTTGTTTTGTAAATAAGCATATGTTCTACTATTATAGCTTGTCATCTGCAGATTTACGGTGCCCAGCAAAATATCCTTCCAGACTTTTTACCAACCAAAAAAACATCCATAATGTCTCACACTGTATGTATGTCACAAGAGTATGTAACACTAACCTTATATATAGAGAAAAATGGGGATATCTTGAAGACGTTGCTGCATTTATGGAAAGTAACAACATTTCACATTTACTGAACCTGGTACTTGTATTACTACAGCCAAAAGCTATGCAGGAACACTTGATGTGTATCATGTCTTGTAGGACTCTTCTCACGTGTCACGGTGTCAAAGGGTGTCCTCTGTAGTAAACAGCTAGGCTGGCAATGTGACACTTTCACTGACCTGCCCAAATTTTTTTTTTCTTTTGTCTCACAATAGGAACTATGGCGTATATCAGATTAAGGAAAAAGCAGTGTCTGAGTACTTATTTGTAAGGACAACATGGAAAAGTACACTTGCTTTGCATTTTATCAGCTGATTTTCATGAGCTCTTCACTCCCAAAGGCCAATACAATTACATGCTGATTTACTGGGGCAGAGATAAGTCACAAACAAATGAAGCTTGTTGACATAATTCACTATTGTACATATATATTTCTAAAACATTCTACAGTACAGTCCTGATGGGGCTATTTCTCATGATTATCATATTTCTCAGTACGGATTAACCATTACTCCCTTTAAACTCCAGAGTAAGCAAAGACGTAAAGGATAAATTCACCTTTTGACGGTAAAAAGAAAAAAAAAAAAAAGTGCATTTAATTATTTTTGTTGCAGGAGCCTGTAAGCATTGCACCTGCGATCAGCAGATCGCTGGTGCCATGCAGGTCACCTGCAGATCTGTCAGTATATTTGCTTGCCTGGACGGGATGTAAGGGCAAGAAGATATACTGATAGGAACACCCAATGAACTACCACAGTGTTGTGATAGTTCATTGAGAACTACAAGTCCCAACAGCCTTAGAGGCACACATGGCCGTGCTGATTTAAAAAATTGACAGCTAGTTTGGGGAACTTCTCCCCATCTTGCTGTCACAAGGAGATGGGGGGGGGGGGGGAATCAGGCAGCAGCATTGGGAACATGTTACATGTTCCACCCTAAAAACAGGTGGAACATGTAACTAAAATAATTGCATTTCCATGTTCTGTGCACTGGGGAAGACTGGATGTAATGAATACTGGGTCCTGGGTTTAGTAACACTTTAAAAGATGACAAACTTAAGATGAACGTACACACGTTTTAGGAAACACAGATATGGGAATTCATTTTTCAGGCAGATGATCCATAAAAGGTTTAAAATGCGCATTATGAATTCACCAATCCAAAGTATGTGGTGTCACTGTATGCAGATAAGCTATGTGACCTTATTTTTTAATCTTTTCAGGATTTTCTGTACGTAATCCTCTGCTCCAATGACAAATCTAGAGACATGCATGTATGCTCTCCATAAATCTCTCTCAACCAAACACTCAATAAAGAAGCTTTTATATAAAAAACTAAATATCTTCACATTGGCTTTTATTTAATAAGGCAAAGTGTACTACTGCGTGTACATGGAATATTTAAAAGTAAAACAGCATTAGTTATTTCCAGCTTTAATTTTTCAGGTAGATTAGATTAAGGTTTTTTTTTTTTTTACTACACACTAGGGGTGACAGGTCCCATTAACATGGAAGAGTTCCAGTCAAGCTGTGCAAAAAAAAGTCAGCAGCTAGAAAAACTGTAACTGCTGACTTAAAAAAAAAAAAAAAACAGCCACGCACCTGTCCCTCAATCCTGTGGTGTCCTCACCGCAGCCCGTTTCACTGGTCGTCCTGTGTTCCCAGCCTCTTAAGTGTGGGCAACGGGCTGTGACAGCTTGCGGCTTCACAGCTGGGAGCCCACTGCACGCATGCAAATAGTGCTGAGCTTTCTGAATGGTCCCATAGTCTTTTGGGACCGGTCACGTGTCCCAGAAGACTGCAAGGAGTGACCGGGTGGGGGGTGGGGGCAGTGGTCGGGACAACTTTTGCTTCCAACTGCCTAGGTGATCGCAGCGGACGTGGAAGCAAGTACCTGTTAATGTGGGGTACCCACTCCACAAAAGGTGTCAATCCTTAGTGGGGAACCAGTCCTTAAAGCGGAGCTTCCCCTTTTGGGTGAAGCTCCACTTTAATGACAGATACCATATCTTCCCAGCTGTAAGGAATCCCAATTATTGTCAGTTCTAGGTGGAGCCTGGTCTTTTGATTTTAGTGTACGTTTTATCCAGTTTCAGGGCTCAGTCACACCATGTGCAGTGGTCTGCATTTTTCTGCACTCGATTAATGCAGGTCATGGCAAGGGCACATAGAAAACAATGCTTTTCTATGGGCCTCGTTCACACCACCATGTTGAGTACATGCGCGTTGCACTAAAATGCAATCTCTGTATTTTAATGTGATGCACATGACTGCATGTGCAACAAAACACAATTTGAAAGTAAAGATATAAAACATAAATTGGCAATAACATTTCACCATTCCTGGGACCTGTCACTTCACAACAGATGACATGAAAAAGCATATCAATACGGATGACTTGAAAAGTATTGTATATCAATGTGTATAAATATGCATGTCAAATGAACTTCGATGCACATGCATGTTCAATGAGGTGAGCTTTAATGTGCATGTGGTATGAAAGGACCCTTACGGAACCAAATAGTTTATATGTACAAGACATGGGAAACCCAGTTTAGAACTGTACTTGGGAGTCCAGAAGTTTATAGGGCAGCCATCCAAAATTATAGTAAAATGTTTCACCAACAATAAATGGCGGCAGGACAGCTTTCCTCTTCAAAAGCAACAGGACCAACCACAATCTTTTACAAAGTTCTGTAAAACGAAGGTTAACCTGTTTTCTTCCCAATACAAAAGAGGAATTGTGTTAGTTCAGCTTTGATTTTTTTTATAATAAAAGGTTTCCCTATGCCCCAAAACAGTATGTATCCCTTTCCCAGGAACGCTGATAACTAGCATTTGCTTACATGTGATGGCCCTTTGCTTCGATCTGTGATCACCTATGTCCAAAGGACACAGCGATCACAGAGCGCACCCCGGGGAAGTGTGGGCATCTATAGACCGTCTTATGGCTATGGCACAGTCGGGAGGTGGTTAAGATGCTACAGTAGTAAGACAACACACTAAAGCAGTCTATACACTAGTAGATTTTTGCGTGAACATTCATTCAACAATTCTCAGTATATTTGATGACTTGACAAATGTTGTTCGAAAGTACTTCAAAATTTTGTTTGCTTTTATCATTCAACTTTGGAATGAATAGACTTTTCTGAACAAAAACCACATACAATGTAAAATTTATTTGTGAAAAATTATCCATCCTGCGGATTGTTCTCATCACTGTGGTCGAAAAAAAAAGTGTCAATTTGACCCAACAAATTTTTTCTTAAACACTTAAAAATGAAAGAACATTTTACTAGGTTATGGCCAAGCTAAAGAAGTGGAACTTATGTAAAGAAAATTAGAGGCTAACTTCACCTTTTACAAAAAAACAAAACAAACATTTTTGCAGGTTAAAAAAATAAATAAAAACGTGCATTTTTTTTTTTTTAATCTACAGCCTGTAAGGCACTGCACCCACGATCAGCAGATTCTTTTACTGAATGGCAGGAAGAATCAATGAACTACGAGAGACCTCACCAGCAGACTTGCTGCAGTTCATTGCGAACTACAAGCCTTCGGCCATGGAGGCGGACGATAGATGTAGTTCATTAATTCACAGAACTCTGTGCATGAATGGTGCATCTGTCTGGGTGGAGTCCCACACAGGCACCCTGTTTTTAACTTCTGACAGCTGGTGTGGGAAGAAGATCCCCCGCCCACTGTCAAAAGGAGGGGGGATCGGGGGGACAGCAGGTAAGAGCTGGAACTTGTTACATGTTCAATCCCAAATATGGATGAAACATCTACAAAAGCTGAACTTATCCTTTAAGTCCTGATAATTTTTTTAAGCTGGCACCTTTTGTAGGTATAGCTATGGAAAACATCAAAATAAGTGCCTATACAGTTTGAAATCCAGTAATCCACTGTCTCGTCCTGCTCTGCACAGTATCAGTCATTCCCTATGCTCAGCAGTGCGCTGAAAATCAGAGCCACTAGAGGTCGAGCTGCTGAGAGCCTAAAGATTTACTGCAGTTCAGGGCCTCTGGGCTTCAGCAAAATGGCAGTCTCCAGCAAAAAGCAAAAGGAGCAATGCTAAGGCAATTTACAGCACACTCATTTTGGTAGCATAATTATTAGACCTCATACACACTGC